TCTCGAATGACGATACTTTCCATCCTCGAGTCGGCGACGGTCTCCAATGAGCCATCACTCGTAACATGCATCACCAACTGATTCTCATCTTCATGCTTCATGCTCATCTGCATCACTTGCTTACTTTTCCTTTTCTCTTTTGACAGATCGTCCTGTGATGGTTGTATAATAATGGAGCACTGGTGAGTATTTTGCTATATCCCCTTCCCCTTCACTCCCCAAGATGCTCTATAACATACAAGCATATGTCCGATTTTCATGATGGACAATTTGTTCTTCCTGAGGGAACGTATCTCGTTGTTGAATCTTATCTGATGTTTCATCCTCTAGATACAGCCTTCGTCGTGCTTTCTGTATTGTTACTTGTCAAAAATTGTATAACATCGATTAGGTTTCATGATGTGAATTGAAATGTTCTTAATTCCCTCTTGCGAAAGCATCCTCCAATCGAGACTTTATATGAGCGTTGACATTGACACGATTCGACATGGTGTGTGATTCTGCGAAATACTTGAAAATTTGGTTTGCATAATTGAAAACTACAGACTGCATACATATACTCGAAGCACATTTGTGTCATATCAGGGACGTCGTATACAGCATAACTAGTACAAACTGTGGGTGAAAGGAGGTAAGTGGGAACTACTGGCGATGTCCAGCGTGATTGAGGCTTGTCGCATACTTCCACATAGTTTCCATCAATATTGCGCCCACATTGACAACGTATGTGATCATCCAGAGCGCAGCGACGGCGCGGCAGATCATGCTATGAGAAGAAAAACCTGCTATCAACATCGCTAGGAGTGAAATGCATGAGGGACCACGAAAAGAACGAAATGAGGGAACAACTCACCGAATATGAAACAATTCAGGGACGAGAGAACGAAGAATGAACGAAGAATATAGGCGTGACTATCGACAACAGGTAGGACAAGACAAAGTAGCCGCCCGGCCTGAGTTGCTGATTATATCAAGTCAGCCAATATAATCAGCATGGCGAGAATGAGACTTACTTCTCGAGTCCAGTGGCGATCGGTGTGCAGCCAACGTATCATACTCGAGCCAGACGTCAACATAGCGAGCACGGCGAACATAAGGGATATAAAGAGGAGACAGTAGGAAACGGGCGACGTATAGTCGAAGTATAAACACGGGGGAGGCCGTACTGACGAAGACACCGCTTATGGCGAGGAGGACGCTTGCCTTAAGTTATGAGAGCATGTCAGCGTCGGCTCTGGTTCGCGACGGGCGCAGAGTTGGATAGCTTACCGTGGTGATGGTGCTGGCCAGGATGGAGCACAACCTGGTCCTAACGGTTTCGAAGGCTTGCTCTGATTGGAGCGACTTCCAATGATCATCAAGATTTGGGCGTCCCAGTGCCAAAAAACACAACACCCTCATTACGAGGGACGTAGGACAAAGGGCTTCTGGAAGGGGGAGTTCTTCTGCAGATGTTCTGCCATCAGCCGCAATCTGGAAGGGTCGGCGTCATTCGGTCATAAGTCAAGGATTCCTAACTTTGAAAGCACACCTGAATGAACAGGATGAGGACAGGTGTGAGAGTACAGAAGGACTAATGCTCATACTGACAACAAGGAGGTGCAATATTTATACTAAAGGGACGGATACCGATTGCTGTGATTGAAGTGTATGGTTGGCCAGTTGAAGAGTGTTAAAAAGTAGGCGGCCAGTGAAAACACGGGACGATCGGAAGTGTCACCTACAGACGGTCGTATATTACTAACGGGACTTTCGCGAAAAATTCCGCGAAAACGTATCACGTGCGTTTGACGGCAAAAATGAAACTCGAAACCCTGAATTGAAATCGCTGGGAATTGTCCCCACTCGTTTTTACACCCAAGTTTGGGGTGATGGTTGGCCAAGGAAGTTGAACCAGTGTTGAAAAGTGATCGGAGAACAGCTATATTTATATACGGGGACGATCTGAAGTGTCACTACAGTGGGCAGAACTACTTGAGAATAGTAGTGTGCCGGCAGAACCGGCAGAACCGGCAGAACAACCAGTTCTGCCGGTTGGCATAACTCTAGCGGTGAAACGTGAATTATGAACCTTGTTACATGATATTGGTTTGGAATTTTTGTTGCACATTCATCGTGAACCTACCGAAGCAGTTTTATATTTGCAAGTTTGGCTTGCTCGTCACTAAGTGGGTAGTCTACATATCCATCCAATGTCGAAATCTTCTTCCGCTTCTTGATCACACCACCAGAACTAGACGAAGCAGCTGGTGAGATAACTTGACCACCATCGTCACCTGTCTTGTTCATAATAAATGTCCGGGCTTTTTGGCGAAGCTCAGGAGCAGCATCCTTGCAGTGGCGGATGATATGGTTAGGCAGACTATTGTCGCGACCTTGGATTTTGGCGCCAGGGGAATTGTCGAGATTACCACAGTGCTTGCATTTCCAGAAGTAACGGCCAGAACTGTTTGCAACTTTGTCGAGACGCTCAAAGTTGTCGTTGATTAGGGATGGCACTGGGCGGCCACCAGCATGGACCATATTTTGGGACGAAGGATCAGCCAAGAGGCATATGTGACTCGTTTCACTTTTTTTTAAGGTACACATATTGTACAGATTATTATGGACTAGTGCTCTACCAACCCTGAGTTCCGCCAAGTTCTGCCAGCACTTTTTCACGGAGTTCTGCCATCTGCCAGGCACAACCAGTTCTGCCAAACCGGTTGGCAGAACTCGTCAGTTCTGCCCACAACACTAAGTGTCACCTACAACGTCGTATATTACTAACGGGACTTTCGAAAATTCCGCGAAAACGTATCACGTGCGTTTGAAAGCAAAACGAAACTTCGAAACCCTGAGAGCTTGTTCGGTAATCCACATTAGAGCAACTTTACTTCAACGCACAATTTTGATGTGGCGCAGGTGCGTCTGAGTTGTGAGCGGAGACTGAAAAGGATCAGTGCTGATCATCACAGGTATTACGAGTCGGTACAACATACCAGCCATGGATCCACAGGGACTCCTATCAGTAAATCAGCCACTATTCCCTAATCCCATTACCCCCCATGGGGGGCATCTCACTGCAGCTCATCTTCTTCAGCAAACTCAACTGGATACGGTGCACATCGCAAGAGCAGAAGTCCGCAAGCGCACTTTCCGTTACATTGCTCTCCTGATAAACATATTGCTTGCCGCTACTACACATCTACTCATACAACAGACCCCTGAGGATCCTGAGCCCTACCACACTTCATCATTGACCAGTCAAGAATGGGTGATGGAATTAATTGTTGGCCACCCTGAACGCATACGCTGTGAGCTTGGGGTGCACGCTGAGGTCTTTGAGAGTTTGGTCAACGATCTTCGAAGCCTTGGCCATGCAGATTCACGCCATGTATCATTAGAGGAGCAGCTGGCAATATTCCTATATGCGTGTGTGACCGGATTATCTTTAAGACATCTCGCGGAACGATTCCAGCGGTCAAATGATACAGTCTCTCGGTTTGTAGTTTGCAAAACCTTGCTTGAACTTAGTACTAACCCCAAGTCACTCATATAACAGCTATTTCTGCAAGATGCTCTTTATTTTTTCGTCCCATCCATTCTACGCAACACATGTCCACCTTCCCACTGACAGCACACCTGTCTCAAGTGAAATTCGCGACAACCCAAAACGCTGGCCTTACTTCAAAGATGCCATCGGAGTGATTGACAGCAGTCATATCCATGCATACCCTCCTTCACACAGCCGCCACCTCTATTACAACCGCAAAGGCTTCATCTCTCAAAATTGCCTTTTTGTGTGCGATTTTGACCTCAATTTTACATTCACACTGACCGGCTGGGAGGGATCAGCAACCAATGCTCGACTCTGGGATGTAGCTTGCAATGATGGCCTGAATATCCCGCCTGGAAAATATCTTCTTGCTGATTCAGGGTTCCCCTCATGTAAAGAGCTCTTAGTTCCCTATCGTGGCATTCACTATCACCTTGCTGAATGGGGCCGTGCTAGCACTAGGTAAACCTTCAGTTGTTTTTTTTTGCTCATCTGACATTATTTTTTAGACCTGTTAACAAAGAAGAGTTGTTCAACCTCCGTCATGCATCAGCTCGCAACGTCATTGAACGAATTTTTGGTGTTGTGAAACATCATTTTCGCATCCTTCTCATATCCCCTGAATATAGCATTGACATTCAGGCGCGGATTCCTACAGCGCTATGCGCTCTTCACAATTACATCCGCGCTCATGACCCAGATGAAGGTCCTTTGCCGCACATACCCATTGTCAATGACAACCATCACGACACCTTCCCAGCACCTCCAGGACATGCCGACACCGATAACTCAGGTGCAGCGCCCATTCATACCAACACAAACAACCTTCGTGATCAGATTGCAATGCAAATGTGGGAGGATTATCAAAACTACTTGTATGAACGAGACTTGATGGATGTAGATCAGTTCTTGGAAAGTGATGAGGAGGCGGCTTCAGATGATGAACAGTATGCAGAGCTTGAAAATGATGCTGACAATGATGATGCTATTTGATACAGTAGTAGTACAACATTCTGCTACTACTACAAAAATGGAATATTGTGCTTGACTTGTTGAATGATAGACCGCAAAAAACCAATGCGAAGCTCCGGCGTGGTACTCAAATACACAGTGCATATTCTCGCGTTCAGCAAGAATGCGTTCAAGAGGACAATCTTCTCATCATGCGACAAGTCCTCTTCTGCTTGCATGCTGTCCAGCACACATCTTGTTTCATCCGCCACCTGAGAATCTTCAGTGACGGTCGATGTTGTAAGACCATTGGTCAGGCGATTAATGGAACCTTGCAGGTTCATCCATGCGGTGGCGCTGGCAGCATCTTTGCCCTTTCTGCCACCATTCCCACTGCTATGCCGACTCGTACCCGTTAACTTGAGCTTCTTGCTGTCGGATTCTGATGGTACCAGCTGCGAGACCGACTCAGACATGATGGATGCGGAAGGGGCAACTGACGTCATATCGTCGAGCTGGCGCTTTCCCAGGCTAGAGGTAGAAGAAGGAGGCGGCATGAGGGCGGGGATACTAGTACTGACATCATGAGTGATGTTGCTGGTGCTGGTGCTGGGACCTGGTACTGGTGCAGCATCATCAGTGATGTTACTGACACTGGGACCTGGCACTGGGACTTGAGTGCCGGTTGCAGCTGATGACGTGGGGTTGTATGAAGCAGATCCATGTGCAATGCTGTTAGTCGGTAGGATTTGGTCCATCTTGTTGTAGAACCTCCAACCGGTGTTCTTGAACGACTTCATGGACTTCCCAGAGCTGCTCTGTGGCAAGATAAATTCAGCTGAAATTAATACATAAATGTGATTACATACGTGAATAAATTCATTCCACACAGATTCAGCTGCCTCCCCCTGAATGCTAGCACCATGTTCACTATCCCAATGACACCCGGATCGGTTGCGATATTTCTCAATAGCATTGTAAGTAGATTTTAACTAAAATATTTGCATCAGCAATGGCTGGACTCAGAGTGGCACAAGAGACAACATACCCCTGCCCATTTAATCCTGCAATGTGATGCCGTCTTTACTGGGCCACTTTTCTTCAACCCTGCGATCTTGAGGGCAGCTTCATTGTAGGTCGGTTCTTTGAAGTTGGTTCCAGCCAACTTTGATCATTGTGTGATAAGATAGTCGAGGAGGGCATCAACCTCAGCATCCTCCCAGTGAGCCTTCTCCTTTGGTAAAGACATTTGTATCAGCTGGAGTTGGCTACAGATTATGAAAGTAGCGACTGCTACAAAGATCTGCTTTCTGCACTGATCATATGTGCGATGGCTGATAACAGATTTCGTGGCCATGGTCGGAAGGGAAAGACATTTGATCTCCGACACCGGCGTTCATCGTGCCGCCTGTTCAATGCTGTGCATTGTCAAACTTTGCGCCCAACTTTCATTCAAACTCAGGTTACCGAACAAGCTCTGAATTGAAATCGCTGGGAATTGTCCCCACTCGTTTTTACCCAATTTGGCCACAGAGTTTTGACGGTCAAATGTGGACAAAACCTTGTTACCTTTTGAAATGAGTGAGTTTGATGGTCAAATGCGGACAAAACCTTGTTACCTTTTGAAATGAGGTGAGTTCGCTAAGTGCTTTCAAAATTTCATCTTTCTGCTTTCGCTTTCGTAAAAAATGATTAAATTTCGCTTTTACCTGTTGTTTTGGCTTTCAAATTTCACCTTCCGCTTTCCCTTTTGCTTTCACAAAAAATGATTCAATTTTGAAGACGGCACGGAACATCCCGGACTGGATATGGGAATTCTACCCCGAAGCGCTTGCCACCTTTCGGATATTATTTTCTGCTACAAACTTTAGTGAGCTCTGATGGCTCAGATCCTTGTGTGCGTCCGCATACAATGAAGACAAGTCTGGCGGGGGAGCCGGCCACGGGTAGGAGCCTCAGATCCTTGTGTGCTTCTTACCACCTTTGTTACTAACTGTCTCCTCATCTAGCCTCACCTCGATGTGGATGTGTCACCTTGCAGCTACAATTGGGAATCCGAGGTTCAATTCGCTGCATCACATTCACTCCTACTAATGTGGGAGTTGCAGCTCACCTCAGCTCACTTTCTCACAGGTCGGGGCGACCGCCGGGGCCAGGTTGCCCCCTTCCACCCAAAAAGCTATCTGCTTTCCAAGCAGATGTTCTCACTACTGCACAAGAGTGCGCACGACACACGGACATCCTTTACCAGCTGCTCCTTAGGCTTGTACTATCACTTGTCCGTCAACAACATTCTACAGCAGGTTGCAAGTGATTGGATAGAAATTTATTTCTTCGCTCATTATTGTCCTATGCTACTTCAGTGACTTACTTGCTGCGTACCTATATTTATTTGTGTGTTTTTTAGGACTCGTTTTCACTCGTCCATCTACATTTCCGCTTATGGAGAGGAAATGTCTGCAGGCACATAGTTGGAGTTTGGCGGATCCCATTATCTGATCATATATATATCCTGCTTGCTAACTGCGCATGTATGAATAGATACCACTGAATCTAATGGCTGATGACCTTGACAATGCCTCTATTGTAGTGCAAAATACATATCAGTCCTTTTTAACTCTTGGGGAACATGTTTCTGTTGCTCTTTGCACTCAACTTGGAGATGCTGCACGTTTGATGGAGGAGAAACGACTTTGCCTATGATTCTTGGACTCAATCTCCCAGGTATATTACAGCATAGGGAATGCACTTCTTGCTTCATGCTGAATTCCATCTCCTCTTTATATCCCTTATGCTCGCTGTACTCACTATGTTAACATCTGGCTCGAGTATGACATGTTGGCTGCACACTGATCGGCACTGGATGCAAGAAGTAAATTTATTTCTTGCCATGCTGATTGTATCGGCTGACTCAATATGATCAGCAACTCAGGCCGGGCGGCTACTTTGTCCTGTCCTACCTGTTGTCAATAGTCACACCTATATTTTTCGTTGTCTCGTCCCTGAATTGTTTCATATTCAGTGAGTTGTTCCA